AAACCCCACTCCAGAGCTCCCGGTGTAAATCCCGGTGTTCTCCCTGGGTTTTTGCACCTGAGCCTGGCACGGAGCCTTGCCAAGCCCTGCTCAGCCCTCAGCCCCCGTCCTGAGCCAGTCCTGGCTGGGCTGAGCTTTGCAGGGCCAGGGAGCACAGCGGGATCCTTGGGATGAGCACAGAGGATCCCTGGGATGGGCACGGAGGATCCTTGGGATGGGCACAGCGGGATCCTTGGGATGAACACGGAGGATCCTTGGGATGGGCACAGCGGGATCCTTGGGATGGGCACAGCGGGATCCTTGGGATGGGCACGGCTGGGAGCTCTGGGGAGGGAGGATAAATATGGGACAAGGTGCCCCAAGGTGCCCAGTCCCTTTTTTGCTCGCTGAAATTCAGGATCAGCCTCCTCCAGCTCCCTGGGGTTGGGAGGAGGAGCAGGAATGGCAGAGCCAAGCTGAGCTCTGCGGAACCAGCACTGATTCCCCCTTTTGTGTAAGGTCAAAAATCAAATTCTTTTGCTTCCCATTTAATTCTTTGCCCCAGCAGCTGCTTCCTTGCCTCTGTAGCTGACACCAGCCCCATCTTTTATGCCTTAAACCCTTTTTCCTCCCTTTTTCCTCCCTTTTTCCTCCGTTTTTCCCCGTTTCCAGCAGGAGAAGCTGCTGAGGGCAGCGAGGAGGGCACCCAGAATAGCCGAGCAGCGCGGCCGGGGCGTGCAGAGGGCTGTAAACATGTTTGGGGTTGCCAGGGCTGCAGGGGGGGTATTTTGGGATTCTCCCAGCTCCCAGCTGCCAGCAGCCGGCCGGGGTGGCACAGCTGACCCGGAATGTGCCGCGGATGCTGCCGGTAAAAGATCCCGGCCAAGGTCGAGCGTCCGGAGCCTGCCCGCAGGGACAGGTGCTGAATGTCCGGCTCCGAGCGAGGGAACGGGGCTGTTCCTGCCCCTGGAAGGGCAGCAGGGAGCTGGAGCAGGCCCCTGCCTCTGGAATGCCCCTGGAAAGCGGAGAGGGATGCCTGGAGCCAGGGTTTCCTGGTGAAATGGATCGGGGTGGTGTGTGCTGCTAATCACCCTCCCAAGCTCCGAATTCCAGCGCTCCAGGGCTGGGACAGGCAGTGGGACAGCTCCACCTCGTTAATTAGGGAATTAAACCTTCCGTTGGCTCATTAAGGCACCTGTAGCACAGCTCCAGAGCCGGGGGGGGCTTCAGCTACTGCTTCAGGAGCCACAGGGAAGTTTCTCCGTGTCTGGATCCACCTTCCCCCTTGGAAAACGGCCCCAAACCCCCTCAAGGCCCCAGCAGATGCCAGCCCTGGGCTGCTCCAGGCTCTCCAGAGCATCCTTGTGGAGGAATATCCTCGTTAATGAAATGGTTTGGCTGCTCCTGCTGCCCAAGCCAGCGGCAGGACCGTGGTACTGAATATGTTTAACAGGGAGCACGACTTCCCCAGCCCTGCCCTCCCTCCCTGCGCAGCGTTTCCCTTTTACAAGGCACACAAATCATCCCTCCGGCCCTAATTCCAGAGCTCCAGTTATCCAGGCCATTTCCTCAGACAATCGTTTGCTTTTTAAACCCCCCCTTAATTTACCAATTTATTCCCCCTAAACCCTTGCTCGGAGGTGCTGCTTTGTGCAGCGTCCAGGAAACGCCGAGTCCAGAACTTTTCACGAGGCCAGAAAATGATTTTTTTTTTTTTCCCCCCTCTTCTCACTGGTTTATTGTATCCTCTTATCTTGTCATATAATAGAAATAATGTTTATGGCGTCGAGGCCTCAGCATCACTTGGCATTTAACCAACCTCAAAAGCAGTTTATTGCTTTGTATACTCTGCTGCCATGGCCATTATCCCTTAAATCTCTATTGCCCAGTAATGGATGAGCTCCTGCCATTGGCTGAGCTGGGCTTTGGGGCTTGTATAATCCAAACCAATGTGGATTATTCCCTTTACAGGGTGTGCAGAGGGGGGAAAATGGGCCTTTTCCCCTTGGCTGTCACCGCTCCAGCTGTGGGGTGGCACCGTGTCCCCCTGACATTTCCAGCTGTGGCACCGGAGCCGTGCCTGCTCCTGGCACTGCTTCACCCCACGGCCAGCAAGGGAGGGGTTCCCCAGTGCTGTCCTGGCCCTGGGGGCAGCTCCTGGAGCAGCTCCTGGGCAGGAAAAAGGCAGGAACAGAGGGAAGCGGGAGTGGGCAGGGAGGAGGGGACACAGTGACCAGGTGAGCAGGACACCATGGTGGGGCTGGTCTCAGCTCCAGGACACCACGGTGACCAGGACACCACAGTGACCAGGACACCACGGTGACCAGGATGCCGTGGCACTGGGTGCTCCGTGTCACCAGGAGCCAAGCGCAGGGCTGGGTGTCCCAGGGAGCGGCTCCCGTGCCACCTCCAGCCCTGCAGGTGCCCCAGCCGTGCCAGCCCTCCCCCCACAGCCCCTCCCGAGCGCTGCTGCTGCCCCTCCCTGCACAGAAAACACGGAATTTAGCTGGGGAGCAGGGGTGGAATGCCCCTGTGCTGGCCTGGCTGCCCCTCAGCCGCCCTTGGCACGTGGGGACGGTCGGAGCCGTGTCCCTGCAGCCCCAGCTGGCTCTGAGGCTGCTCCAGAAACCTCAGGAACTCCGGAGTTCTGCGCTCGGGAATGGCAGCCGCCCGCCCGCGGCCCCTTCACAGCAGCAGCTTTTTGTGGGGAGCCCTGGCGAGGAGCATCTCCCAGAGCTGCATCCCTGCTTTCCAGCAATGCAGCTTTCTAACAATGCAGCTTTCCCAGCAGTGCAGCTTTCCCAGCAGTGCAGC